CATGGCACACACAGCATGGCACACACAGCATGGCACACACCATGGCACACACCATGGCACACACATGGCACACACAGCATGGCACACAGCATGGCACACACACCATGGCATACACCATGGCACACACCATAGCACACAGCACAGCACACACCATAGCACACAGCATAGCACACACCGTGGATCATGCTCCATGGCACACCCATGGCAAACACCACAGCACAAACCACTCCCCAGCCAGCCCTGCCAGCCCTCTCACCTTGGCACCTCCAGGACATGTTTCCCACCTCCCAGCACCAGGAGTGCATCAGATGCCAGAGCAGCCCCTGAGCATCCCCTGGCTGCTCAGAAACCCATCACAGTGCAGCCCAGATCAGCCTTCCCAGCCCTCTCCTTCAGTCTTGCCATTACAAGAGGTCCTGGCACCTGGCTTACACACCATACTGAGGAACAGCCAAGGTAAGCCTGACATGGCACTGTCCCAGAGTGTCCATGCACAGGGACACAGCCCAAAACCTGCTTGGAGCCAGCATGCCCTCTCCTCCCAGGACAACACCACTTTTCCAGTACCCATCCAGACACCACCTCTGCTCCTCACTGAAGTCGCCAGCTGTGGCAGGAGGAGCTTGGTGGGTGCCAGCCTCAACCCCAGCACTGCCCTGTGCCTGTCCCCACCCTAGCAATGGCAGCTCCTGACCTCCCACACACACCCACCGACCAAGCAGGTCACTTAGTGGGATGTGACAACCAGCAACACCAGGAAAACAGCACGGATGAGCAGTGAATCCACGAGCCCAGCATTGCCTGGTGCTGCCCCCTGAGCGAGGCTCTGCCCCCTGATTGAGGTTCTGCTCCCCAGCACGCTCCTACCTTGTGTCCGTGCCCAGGCGCTTGTTTGTGCTTTCACTGCCGGCACACCCCAGGCTGGTGGCTTAAAGGATTTTCCTTTAATAACCACCAAATCCCTCCCCTGGGCAGTAAGCCGCAGACCTGGGCCCTTTCCTAGGTGCAGAGCATTCTGCTGGTGCTCTGCTCATTCCCTGCTTTGCATATGCTCCTATCAAACTGGATTTCCCCCCTCCTGATTCAGCCCAGTGCTTATAAAGCCCTAAATCCCCTTGAATTTCATTTCCTCTGGTACTCGAGGTCTGTCCCCAGTTTCGGTCTCACCCACGTATTTTACATACTCGTGTTCACAGCCTTGATGTGAGATTTCTGCCAGTTTTGGTGTTGTCCCTGCTCAGAGCCCGGGCAACCCAAGTCCTGCTGAGAGCAGCCACTGCCTCAGCTGGGAAAAGATCCATAGCATAGTCTTGGCTCCACTCGGGAAATGATTCTGGGAGAGGCTTCATCCCAACACCCCAACCCCACAACCCCCCACTGAGGGAGCCAGGCTGAGACCAGGTGCTGGATCCCTGACCTGGCAAACTCATCACCACTGTGCCTATGGGGTGCTGAGTGTCCCCAAGCTGTCCCTGAGAAAGGACCGACCCCAAACCATCCCCACTTCACATCCTCAGAGCAGGGGACTCTTACTCAGTCATACAAATGAATTTCCGTAGCGGCTTTTCTCCCCACTGTGACAATTCTGTCCCCTCAAGGATCTCCCTGCCAGCCCCACTCCCCTGGGTCACGCTGTCTTGTTTCACTTCTCTTTTCTCATTTCACAGAAAAAAGTAGATAAAGCTGAAATCTGGTGACTGTATCAGCTTTCAAGGTCACAGGCAGCGGTGCTGGCAGCAGGTTCCTCTGCCTGGAAAGCCTGTTTTGGCCTCAGTTCCCCCTGCCAAGGAGACTGCTGGGGCCACACGTGGCAGGAGCTCAGCTGCCACAGCTGGGGAGATCAGGGCTGTGTGTGGTCACTGGGTGTTGCTGGGGGCTGCAGCAGTGGCCAGTGTGGAGCGTGATCTGCAGCCTCCTGCACTGGCCTGCTTCCCTTGAAGGTGTGCACGAAGCAGGGAATGTGCAGGAGGCAGATGTGCATTGAGCAATGGTTGTGCACGGAGCAGATGTGCAGGAGCAGAAGATGTGCATGAAGCAGATGTGCACAGACTGGCTGGGAGGGAAGCTGAAGATGTGCATGGACCATGGGAAGGGGCAGAAGGGCCAGCTGGTACCAGCTGCCCTGGCTTTAACATCATGAGCCCCTTGAGAAGGGCAGAGAAAGGTGGGCAAGGGCTGAGCCTCAGCCTGGAGCAGCAGCACCAGGGGCTGTTCCTGAGATCTTCCTGCTGCCTTGCCTGGAAATGCAGGTTTCATGGGACTGGGCAAGTTCCCTGCCTGGGGCAGAGGGGAGTTGGGAGCAGACCAGGGGGCTCAGCAGTAGCATGGGGGGTTCTGTGTGGGGCACACATCCCCCCAGGACCTTGCAGGACTGACACTATCGCTCTTGCTCTGAGCACAGCAGGACTGGACAGAAGGCTATTTGCTGGCTTTATTGAGGGCAGTGAAAAGATAACACAAATTATGGACCTGTGGGCCGAGAAAGGGCAGTGGAGGCCCATGCTGGTGGATACAGGTTTGTGTGAGGTCCTCCTGGTGTCATTAGCATCAAACAGCTTGCACAAGGCAGAGGTGCTTGGCCTCGTGGTCTCATCCTGTGGTCGAGATGGCTTCAGGTCCTGGGAGAGCTCCCCTGAGATGCAAGCATGATGAGCATAGTGTGCTGAGCTGAGATCAGGGTAAACCATGCAAACAGCTCCACTTCTTTCTTTGTTGTGCCCTACAGAAACGTCCCTTCTTCCACCCTGACAAGGCCTGCCGTGCAAGCAGTGGTGCCACGTGTCACTTGGCAGCCACCCTGAGGCTGGCATACTCAGTGGGGGCTGTGCCCGGGCTCCTGCTGCGCCGTGGGGCCGGGGGCAGGGGCTGCAGGTCGGCGTAGTGGATGCTGTTCTCCTCCTTGCTGCTCTGCTGCAAAAGTGCACACAAATGGGGAATGCTGCTGCAAGGAAAATCTCACCAAAACAACCCTAAATCAGAATGTCCAAAGTTGGAAGTGACCCACAAGGATCACCAAGACCGTCTCATGGCCCTGCACAGGACAACCCCAAAAAACAGGTTTAAGCCAGGCCACAGCTGCAGAGGTGGCCCTGTGCCATGGTGCAGAGTATGCAGGGACCACATGCAGGCAGCTGCTGCCCACTCAATATGTCCCCTGGCCAAAGAGTCTTGCAGGGCTCCTGCAAGCCAGGGCATCAGCATGGGATGTCCTTCCCCATACTCACAGCTCACTCTTACCTGGCTGGGCAGGTGGGAGCTCTCTGCATCCAGGACTTCGCTGTAGGGGGAAGGATAAGGATGGCCATCAGAACTAAAGAAGCTGGGTCCTTTCCCCACCCAGCACACCCTCAATTCCCCTCCCAAATTTCATCAGGATGCCCTCACCAAAGGCAGAGAATAGGGACAAAGTGCTGTCTGCACAAGTGGGCTGGGCTCAGACACATGATGAGGGGCTGCAGGGAGCTCCCTGGCTCTGGGGGCTCCCTACCACGAAGCTTCTGTGAAACGCAGAGAAAATCAACAGAGCAGTGCACTTGGGAGTAAAAGACCTTTTCTGGGGAAAGTTACAGCTCCGGACAAGAAAGGAAGCCAAAATAAAGCAGGTGGATAAGACAGTTTGCTCATTAAGGATGCAGAAGGAAGACGTGCTGAGTACAAACCTGGGGGTGCCGGGAGTCCCTGCACAGCACTGCAGGGGGACAGATGAGAAGCTGCCCATGGCCACTGTCCTGGTTGGGCAGGGGCTGCCCACCCGGCCTTGGTGCTTCCTCCTGTACATGCAAAGGGCGACGAAGAGGCCAAGGAGGAGGAGGAAGCAGAGCACTACAGCTGCAGTCACCATTCCAGGAACTAGAGTTGTCTCTGTGGAGACAGAGCCAGAGCAGGAGAGGGTGGTGGGTGTGGGGCAGAGCAGGACCTTGCCGTGGGGAGGGTGGGGCTGAGGGATGGGGCTCCTGGAAGCAGTGTCTGGGCTGAACTCACCATACACGGACACCTCTGTGCCACTGCCACGCTGAAACACCTCATCCTGACCAGTGTCCCCCTTGAGAAACTTCACACAGTAGTAGGTGCCCATGTCCTCAGGCTGAACGTTGCTGATGTGGATGGTGAAGTCTGTGTTGGACCCATTCACTGCTCTCATCACACGGGGTAAGGGCCCCTTCTGGTCATAGATGGTCTTGTTCTCACTGCCCCAGCCCTTCAGCCATCCCACAGCACCTGCTCCAGCAGGTCCAGATGTGGTGCAGATCAGGGTGAGCACATCCCCTGCTGCCACTGACACCTTGTCCTGGGGCTGATACAGACTGAAGTTTAAAATCATGCCTGAGCACAAACAGAGGAGGGTTCAGGGATGAGCGATGGGGCAAGGCAAGGGCTGACTCACAGGCAGAAAAGCCCCAGTATCCCCCACTTTGCAGCTGAGAGATATCCTGGCATGTGGCAGGGACAACATGCATGGGAGGGAGGAAAATCTTAAAAAAACAGTGCAAGATGAACAAGTGGCAAATCTGAAATATGAGCAGGATGCCCAGGCCAGTGGTGGAGTCACCACCCCTGGAGGCATTTAAATGACATGTAGATGTGGCACTTGGGGACATGGTTTAGTGGTGGCCTTGGCAGTGCTGGATAAACGGTTGGACACGAGGATCTCAGAGGGCTTTTGCAACCCAAACAGTTCTGCGTTTCTATGGTTTGATAAATCAGCACCCTGTTCTGTCATTTGCAGGAGGTGCTGCAGCTGCCTGGAGGCCAGAGGGGTGTAGAAGGAGCCAAGGGGAACCCCAGGCAGGAAAAACTCCTGAGTGCTGTTAAACATTAACACCCTGGCTCTGTTCCACACCAGCCAGGATCACTGGGGCTCTGCGAGGAATTGGGGTTCACAGCCAGGAGACAGCCAGGAGCCAATGTTCTAGACGGGGATGCACAGCCCTGTAGCCCAGCACAGACCCCGATCCCTCCTTGTCCCAAAATCCCTCCCCCTGCCCAAAACCCCTCCAGTCCCCAAACCTCTCCTGCCCAATGTCTCCGACACGTTCGGCAGTGGCTCGGCAGGGTTCGACCCGGCTCTGCCCCTCGCCGGGGCTAAGGATGCTCTGCACCCCCGGGGACGGACTGACACCAAAAGGTGGTCGGGGAAGGACCACGATCCGCCCCTCCCGGTGTTTATCTTTGCCACCCGCCCGCGTTTATGTGGTAGATGCGGCAGGGGAGCTCCGAGAGGCTCTGGGCGCCCCACTTCTGACTCACCCGGTGCCGACTGGGCAGGACTGGCTTCGCTGCTCGGACAGGAGCGGAGCTGCTGCCCCGTCGATGGGTTCTGCCCAAACTTTAGGAAGGGAAAGGGGAAGCAGGACAGGAAGTGGAGGCGAGCGGGTGATTAACGCTTTGGTGTCTGCCCGGGGCGGACGAGGTCCGGCAGAGCCGCCGGGCATCGCCTGAAGGGGCTATCACCCCACGGGACCCGCCGGCTATCACCCCCGGTGGGTATCACCCCACGGGACCCGCCGGCTAT